AATTTAATTACTTATTTATTTCAAAAATCAGTGATTACATCATTTTGTCACGGTTATGTTCAGGAGCCTTTAGAAGAAAAGACCCCCCTCCTAAAGGAACGTCTGAGCCGCTTGTTTGAAGCGAATGAGCAGCGCTGCAGCCGCAGAGTGCTGTACGGGGCAGATGTTCTGCAGGCATGCACCCTGAGCCCAGGTCCTGGTCACTCTGCTGGAGGCTGGAGGTGGGTAGGCAGTGAGAACTGTGTCAGGGCTCAGAGAACATGTGTAGGTTCAACTTCTACACTGCAGTCCACTCTGCTTACCACGGAGAACCGCCTGGAGGCTGCCCAAAGTCTGATCAAGAGGTAATCAGTTTAAATTGCCTTTTTTATTATTCATGACTCCAGTCCATTCACTGCATCTCTATTAATTGGTAGCCATGCTTTTGGAGGGTTTATGACTATTCTCTATTCTAAAATAGAAATTTAGTTCACCTAGTTTTTTAATGAGCCCTATATTTTATTTACTAATTTAAATAAAGACCTATATCATGTATCTCCATATCATGCCAGTTATTTACTGCTGTTGCTGTCTTGCAGGCTGACATGCGTGGTGTCTCCAGCTGTAGCTCCACCTCCTCACCTGTATGCAGCCAATCCACCTGTTTCCTACAGCCTTGAACACAAGTCCTTTCAGAAGAGGCTGCTGGAGGCCTCTGCACCCCACAGTGCAGACATCCATCACTTAGCATCCAGATGTCTCTTGAGTTATACTGACTTACAGTTAATGCAGATGGATTCAGGTTAGTTCAGTTTCTTTATGTACCTGTCTTGTTGCTTACCTAGTTTATCTGCTCCATTTCATCTAGCCTTAAACGGTGACAAGCTGAAACTGCCAAACACCCAGCTAACAAAATTAAATGGAGCTTGCTTGTTTTTTTTTTTTAATCCTATCCTCCAACGTACACAGGCTGAAAAACTGAGCCCACGTTTTGCTCTTTTCTACATTAGTGAAATTGACATCCATGCTTCACATTTTCTTGCATTCAATAATATAGTGCTACACACTGTTAGCAGCATCTGTAAGCTCAGTGTTCATGAAGCTTTCATGTAGCTCAGGTTAATTATTTAGGCTTCCAGAAACCAGAATATATAGGAATGGCAAAAAGAATAACTTTAGCATTTATTTTTCTTTCACTAGGTAAACTGGAGGCTCTTGCAATTCTACTGCAGAAGCTCAGATCAGAGAGCAGGCGTGTCCTCATCTTCACTCAGATGTTGAAGATGCTGGACATCTTGGAGGCCTTCCTGGATTACAGGCAGCTCACATATATGCGCATTGATGAAAGCCTCACTTGTGATGAAAGACAGGTAAAAATATCACCAACATTTTATCTAATTTTGAAAACAATATTTTAACACTTTAGTGTTTATGTTTTGCCGTTTCTTTGTGAGGGATATATATAATAATAAGTTAGAGCCAAGTATAACAGTTAATGAGCCCTTACAGTGTGTACTGAAGAGGAACAGTGATCTTGCTGTAACACCCAAAAGGGAGACATCTTTCTCCTGAGGCGGAGACTAATACAAAACTATACAAACATAATTTAAATATAATTTAATCAGTTTCTTTAGTTTAAAAAGACTATATTCCAGTAAAATGGCATGATCTTATGCTAACTGATCTTATGGAGCAGAAGGCATCTCCTGTCACTCAGAGCCACCCATGTCTCGAGCTCTAAACCACGAGGCTGATTTGCTCGTCAGAGTGCCACTGTACAGAGACTCCACGTCTGAACGTTGTGGCAAAGGTGTGGTTCCGCTTTGGGCGGGCGATGGTGGATGTGTTTGCCTACTTGGAGAACATGCTGTTTTTTCCATGCATGATCAGAGTTGCACCCTTCAGTGTGGACACGCTAGCACACACTTGGCCGTGCGTTTTTCTGTACACCTTTCACCCTGGCTCTGATAGCCTGACTATCCAGAGTGAGGTAGCGCCACCACACGCTGATCCTGATGGCTCCACACTGGTCAGCAATGTCCTGGCTGATGAAGATATATATCAGTGGACAGTTGTGGAAACTCCTGCTATGGGAGGACATGTCGTCTTTGGCAGGAAGATAAAGTTTCATCCACACCCAAAACACCTGAAGTTATGGGCCTGGCCTGTGAGTGGTATAATTTAGATGCAGTGTGGCTTCCTCAGAATGATGAGTACCTTTCAGACTGCTAGGACTCCCTCCAATTGGTCCCTATATGAGTAAGTGTAGGGTGCTTGAGGAGTGGTGCTTTGAAAGGAGGCATTTCTCTTTAATGCCCCGTTGGGGGGATTTGGTTTGTAGGAGTTAATTGACAAACAAAAGGCCTTCTTTATAATTAAATTGTACCTGGCTGCCATGTGGGTTTTGAGAGGAGAACAGCCAGACGATACCCTTTGGTGGTCTATTTTATGAAGGAAGGTCCAGGCTTCTTCCTGTCTTCAGGCCCCTGGCTCCTTTGTGGGATGTCAGTTGTGTTGGAGGGCCTCTCTAGCCCCTCATTTGAGCCTCTAGAACAGGAGTGTCAAACTCCCTTAAAAAAGGGGCCAAAATTAAAACCTTTTTCAAACTAAGGGCCAATTTCAAAAACTACATTAACTCAAATCAGATACCCAACATCTTTTCTTGGCCACAGGTTCCTCAACAAGAGTTTGATTTGTCTCATTTGGTGTTCTCTGTTGTGCTTTCAACATCATAATCAAAGATTACTGAAAAAAATCAAGAGATAGAAGTATTGCATGTTTCACATATCACCTTGAGGGCCAGATAAGATGTCAACAAAGGCCACATTTGGCCCCCGGGCCTTGAGTTTGAAACATATGCTCTAGAGAAGGGTGACCTCAAACATCTGTCATTTAAAACAGAGGTCTCCAACCCTGATCTTCATGACACACATGACTGAATTGAACAAGTCATTGACAGGGTTCTGCTAAACTTTGTGACATTCTGATTAGGCAATTCAGTTATTTGAATATGGTGTGTTGATGCAGAGAAACAGCTAAAACATGCAGGACATTGGGCTACGATGACTAGGGTTGTGGACCCCTGCTTTAAGACAGTGCTACTGTTGACATTGGCACCTGCTGAACATGATGGGAATATTAATGCACTTTTAGTGCGCTCCTCCTGTACCATGTCTGGTCCTAGGGATATAAGGGTCTCTCACTGCAGCACAACCCTGCTTTCCTAGTCTTTCAGTAGGTACTAATATACCTTTGTTTTGCCTTACTGGGTACCACTGCAATGCACTGTAAACTCAACAATTAGGTTATATATAGCTCTTTGGAAATCTGAAATGAGTAACATAAATAGCTTTAATAATCTAGTGAAGTGACAGCATTCAATTATTTATGCACAGATACTGACCTTACGCTGATATATTACAGTCAGTGATGGAAAAAGTCTGTGTCTCATATTTTAGCACACTTTGGTTATTTAAAAGACAATTGTGCATGTTAGTTTACATGCTTTATTGTTCACTGTCATATTTTACACTTACAACATTGACTGTAGTTAGATTGCCAGCTGCTCTTTTAGCATTTATTTCCCCACACTTTTAATGTGCCTAATGGATCTGCAGGAAAACATGAAGAAGTTTAACAGGAGCAGGCAGGTGTTCTGCAGCATCCTGACCAACCGCTGCTGCTCTGCAGTTGGGACCATGGTCGACGCGGACACCATCATCTTCTATGACACAGACCTCAACCCAACTATGGACGCCCGCACCCAGGAGTGGTGTGACAAAGTCGGGCGATCCAAGGACATTCATATATACAGGTAAAAGTTTTAAAACAAATGTAACCGTTTAGGATCTTAACCTGAACAGTAATAGTTGAGGACTTGAGTGACTTTGTGTGCATGTTTTGATTATGGATCAGATTGGAGAGTGGGAATTCTATTGAAGAGAAATTGTTAAAAAATGGCACCAAGGACCTCATAAGGGAAGTGGCTGCTCAGGGCACTGACTACACCTTGGCTTTCCTCACACAGGTATGAATAGTCAAGTGTGTCTTTATTTTAATTGTAATCTGCAGTCACTCATATCCCAGTACGCGGTAAAGAAACCAGCTGTCAAATTGGCATTTATAAGAATTATAACTAGTTTCATTTAACATAGTGTAACGGTCCCATATTGTGTGTCTCTAGCGGACAATCCAAGATCTGTTTGAAGTAGAGGCGGGTTCAGACGTGAAGGTAGAAGAGTTCGTGGTACTTCACCAGGAGCCGTCAGCCTCAGAATCCATTTCTCCCAAAGTAGCGAGACCCTACATCCAGGCTCTCCGCAGTATCAACCTGGATGCTGAACCAAAGGAGGAAGAGGAAGAGTTGGGAGGCAAAGAGCCAACAGAGGAGTCAGAGAGCCAGACTGGAGAAGAGCCTGGTCTGACAGAAGAGCTGAATGCAGTCATGGAACAGGTAGCTTTACTTTCTGTAGATTATCAAAAATAGTTTAAGCTTTGTGAACTGAAAGACTAAATAAACTAGCTTAAAGAAATGCTGCTGCTGTTGAAGTAATTTGTGTTGTTCCTTATCTTAAAAACAGCTAACTCCTATCGAAAGATATGCCCTGCATTATCTGGAGTACCTTAACATCAGTGATGATGAAGCTGCACTCAAGGTGAGGATTTGATTCACCCTCATACGTATTTACGCCCATGTTGTCCAAACTGTTAAAAATAGTGTTTGTCCTTTGATAAGCTCGACTAATTGATGCGTTGTGTTTATTTTCTCCAGGAGAAGTTGGAGTGTTTCAAGAGAGGCTGGGAGGTGAAACAGCTGCAGAAACTGAAGGAGGAGGAGGAAGAGCACCATATGGCAGAGGGAGAAGAAGATCTATTCACTTACACCAGAGAGGACGCTTACAACATGGTGGTTGCCTGCTCTAATCTTTGCTGATCAAAAAAAAAAGTTTGGTTTGCATTCCACATTTGTTGATACTAACCTTTGTTGTACTTCAACAGGAGTATGTATTTGATGCAGAGGATGGTCAAACAGAAATAATGCCGGTAAGACACCGAATATGGCATGTTTGGAGAAAACTTTTACAAATTGCACCAGCAACTAGTATCTTTTTTTTTTTAACACCAATTCTTGTGGAATATGATGGATTGTGTACAATTTGTTTTATTTTTTTCACTAACAACTGTTTTTTTTTTTAAGTGTTTTGGTTCTGTCAGGGACCAAGCAGTGAAAGCATAAAAGAAAGAAAAATGTCTTTAAAAATTTGACTTATTTACCCAACAAAATTCAAAGTAACAAAAATCCAGTTACCGTAATTTCTGGTCTAGAGAGTGCACCCAAATATAATGCGCAAACACTAAATTAAATTAAAAAAATAAAAGTTTGTGCTTATATAAGCCACGCTTGTGTATAAGCCGCAGGTGTTCACGTTGTAACAATATATTTACACAAAGATTTTTTAAAACTTTTAATTAAATACGTACCAGTAACGTACACAAATGTGTACAGTACAGTAAAAAAAAAAAATTCTGAACAATGCCTTTAACACGGCTGGTTAAAAAACAAATGCAATCGTCAAGCTGTCCTCCTCTCCGTAGAGCAAAAGTGAGACCCACACACACACACACACACCGTTCCATTGGTTCGACTGACCTGTCCAGTAATTTTATTGGTTAGATTTTATTTATTTTTTTTACCTTTATTTATACAGGTAGTCCCATTGGGTCATGAGGACCCACCCCACAAGAGAGACGTGTACTGGGCAGCTATGTGAGCACCCGGGTGTGACGAAGCTAAATATTTTTGGTGTCAGGAAGCTCGTTAGTCTGTCAAAAAAAAAAATCCATAAATTAGCCACATCATTGTATAATCTGTGGGGTTCAAAGCCAGTGCTGCCAGTTTGGGGGGTTTACTGCCAATTGGTTGGGGGTTTCATTCTGATTTTGCTGGGAACTGGGAACATTTTGTTGGATTGTTGCGTTTTGTCACATATTGTTAAATTACCTTGGGTTGTACTCATGTGCATTCATGTTCAAACAGTAAATATAACAATGTATTGATTGGGCGAATTTTTATGTGATGTGAGGTTTTTTAACAGATTTTTGGGCTGGAAAACCTCGACTCTTATCTGGCAACACTGTTCAAAGCCCGTTTAAAAAAGTAGCGGCTTATACACCAAAAAGTACAGTAATCATTTACTTTGACCTATGAAAGAGGGTCAACTAAATATAACTATACTCAAAAATGTAACCTAGCAAATGGTTAACTGTACGCTGAGGCAACATAACTGGAGTGACCCAACACAGTGACACAAGTGGGTACTTACGTAATGGTTTGACCAAAATAAATTACACGTGCAGGGGGAAACAAATTTTCATCAATTATGACTAAACTGAAAACAATGTACTCCAACCTTAAATACCTGCACTTACACCCACCAGTAGCTAACATGTACATGTGAAAACCACATGAGCTGGCTCTTAGATTTTAAACTCGGTCCCTGCCCATGAATTTTGCTCCACCAGGAGACACCCGGCCAGCTAACTCTAAAGACAAACATAATTAATTATTACCATTTTAATACCACATGTGTTCATATGTGCACTCAATAATAGCATTGTTAGGTAAAAATATAAGTTTTAACAAATTAAATAACCAAATAGTACAGGTTAATAATTAGCTGTAAATGCAATGAAAAATTATGGGTCGAAAGTGATTGCTGAGCCGATTTTACCAATGGGTGGCTGAGGCCATGACGGATACAAAACACCCTAATAAATAACTCTCTTACCATTCCCTCATTTGTAACGTTTAACTTTCCATTACAGCTTTGGACTCCTCCCACTCCGCCACAAGATGACAACGATATTTACATTGATTCTGTGATGATGTTAATGTATGACACCACACCCATACCAGAGTCCAAACTGCCTCCAATCTACATTCGCAAAGAGCACAAGAGGCTTAAGATGGACCCCTCCGGTAAAAAATAAATTCTTTAAAAGTTTCAGCTTTTGAAATTTATGTGTCATACCATACCACTTATGAAATTAGATGCAAGTTTAAGTATGTGGCCGTTTGTACGTTTGTTTATTGCATTGCTTGTCTGTTTCTGTCCAGCAGCAGCCAGAAAGAAGAAGAAGGGCCACGGGGAGACAGTCATACCTCCACGCTCTCTTTTTGAAAAAGCCAGCATGCTCAAAGTTCGCCGTGAGAGCAAAGACCAGAAAAAAAACTTCTCCCTCAAGCAGCAGGTTCCTTTTGCCAAACCCCTGCCCTCGCTGGTTAAACCTGCCATGGAGGCTGGTCAGGACAACCCAGAGTGGCTCATCAGTGAAGACTGGGCTCTGCTGCAGGTGATGCCTTTACTAACTGCACGCATCATGGACTTTTCGTCAAAGCTAATTAATAACTGATCAAATGATCCTTATGGTGTGTTTGTTAGGCTGTAAAACAGCTGCTGGAGTTGCCTCTGAACCTGACGATCGTGTCTCCTGCTCACACACCTAACTGGGACCTGGTGAGCGATGTGGTGAACTCCTGCAGCCGCATCTACCGCTCACCCAAACAGTGTCGCAACCGCTATGAAAATGTCATCATTCCCAGAGAAGAGGGAAAGGTACGTTCTATTCTGCTTTAAAATTGGAGTCCTCAGCTTCTGCTTATTTGTCTAACTCATTTTATACATTTTTCAGCTGGTGTATGAGGCCAACCCTAAGAAGAAAACTAAGAGCATATACAAGGTATCCTGTCTGATTTTACTTTTCTGTGTGTACATTGCTTTGCTTTTGAAATCCTGGTTTGAATTTTGTTGTTTCCCACCTCGTGTTCAGTCTAAGAACAGTCGTCCTCTGAGGACCTGCCAGATCTACACCCAAGATGACAATTCCTCCCAAATTCAGCTATACAACAGTCGCTTTGAAATCATGAAAATAATTGCCAGCAAGAGAAGCCCACCCATCAAACCACTGTGAGTATCTGTTTACACAAAACGTGCCAGTATACTTCAAGTGATCTTGTAAATAAACTATTGCTGTATTATCAGTTTACGTGGGCTAAACTTGATAAACAGAGACCAAAAGCCACGTGTTCGTTTTTCTTCATTCATATTAGAAACTTTTATATTAATATTTTAATGCTGCTTACAGGCTCGGTATGAATCCATTTCAGAAGAATCCCAAACATGCATCAGTTTTGGCAGAAAGGTATGTTTGAAAAAAAAATACAAATTTTAATACTTTCAATATTGAATCTTAATCTCAAATCCATTAAAAAAAATAAAAAACACGTTTTTCTCCTCCCTTAGTGGGATCAGCTATGACAAACCCCTGCCCCCCATTCAGGTGGCCTCTCAACGCGCTGAAAGAATTGCTAAAGAGAAAAAGGTGAACATCAGTGTGTATGTTTATGTGGAAGTTTTATAGCTTTATTTCAATAAATAAGAACATGTTTGATCAGTTTTTGTATAGCTAATCAGAAATATAATTTATCGTAATTATCAGGCTCTCATTTTCCCTCCAACTCATGACCCATCCATCCCACCTCAGTCTGTAGCTCTATTTGACCATTTTGAACCCATCACTCTATCTTCTCTAGAGCAGGTCATGTGCAGCTTGAAACCTTCTGGTTCCCCCTTTGATGTGGTTCCCCCTCGACTACTAAAGGAGGTTTTTCCTACTCTAGGTCCGTCCATTCTTGATATAGTAAACAGTAGTTTATCCACTGGCATGGTGCCAAAAACCTTTAAACATGCTGCTGTCCAGCCTCTCCTGAAAAAAACAAACCTTGACCCCTCAGTCGTTTCCAACTACCGGCCTGTCTCCAAACTCCCATTTGTTTCTAAACTACTGGAGAAAATAGTTGAGTCCCAGTTGAAGTGCTTCCTTAAGGATCACGCCATCTTAGAGCTTTTCCAATCTGGCTTTAAACCTCTCCATAGCACTGAAACTGCCCTGTTGAAGGTTTTTAATGACATCTTCAGATCCACAGTGATTCTGTGTTGCTTGTCCTGTTGGACCTCACAGCCGCCTTTGACACCATCGACCATGAGATCCTCATTGCTAGGTTGGAGCAGTGGGTGGGCATCACAGGGTCAGCCCTCACTTGGTTCAGATCTTACCTCACTGACAGATCCTTTTGCGTCTCCATCAAGGATTTTAGTTCAGCAGCGACAGAGCTTAAATGGGGGGTTCCGCAGGGGCCCGTCCTGGGTCCCCTCCTATTCTTTCTATACCTGCTACCACTTGGTGCTATTTTCCGGAAACACAACATGCCCTTTCACTTCTATGCCGACGACTGTCATATTTACTTCCCCCTAAGACACAATGGTACATGCTCTATTCAACCTCTGCTCGACTGCCTGGCTGACATCAGGGACTGGATGACTTTAAACTTCTTAAGTTTCAATGAAAAGAAGTCTGAAGTCATGTTGTTCCCTCCCAATGACACGATCACAAACCACTGCATCGACCTTTCCACTCTAACTCTGTCAGAAAAACAGAGTCACTAATCTGGGAGTAATAATGGACCCTTCCATGAAACTTAACAATCATGTAAACATGATTGTTAAATCATGTTTCTTCCAGCTGAGGCGGCTGTCTAAACTGAAGCCCATATTGTCCAAAAAGAACCTGGAGACAGTAATACATGCATTCATTACATCTAGGCTTGATTACTGCAATTCACTCCTGTTTGGTATCAGTCAAACCTCCATTGCACGACTACAACTGGTCCAGAATGCAGCAGCCCGATTTTTTACCAGTACAGACAAAAGAGAGCACTTTACACCAGTTTTGGCCTCACTGCACTGGCTACCGGTTCACCTTCAAATCCAGTTCAAAATAATGGCAGAGGGGACAGGGCCTTCTCTGTAGCAGGACCAAGACTTTGGAACGAGTTACCTCTGCTTGTCAGACAGGTCCCCTCCCTCTTGGTTTTCAAATCCCGTTTAAAAACTCACTACTATTCAGTAGCTTTCAACACCAGATGATCTGTGATTTGAACCTGTATGCTCCACACTGGTTTGTCGTCATATTTATTATCTGCATCGATTTTATGTCTATATTCTGATTTACTTCATTTTGTATTTTGCTTTGTGTGTTGTCTGTTCTCTCTGTACAGCACTTTGGTTGGCCTTGTAGCTGTTTTAAGTGCTCTATAAATAGAATGGTATTGTAATTCTTTAAAAATGCAACTTTGATATTTGCATCTTACCATTATTGAAGTTGTTTTTTGTTTTTTTTTATTGGCTTCCAATGTTTGATTTTTTTTCTTCCACGATGAGTGTTGTCCACAAGCTTGTTTTCAAAGTAAAGAGCTTAAAAGCTAAATGTTAGAATTTGAGATGTGGTTCCACCCTACCTGGGTCTTAAATGTGTGTTAGATGTCATCTTTTTTATTTGTTTGCAGGCCCTTGCAGAGCAGCAGAAGGCCCAGCAGTTAGCCCAGCAGCAGCAGGCTGGAGCTCCTCAGGCCCAGGTTGCACCTGGTCAGGCCCAGACTCCTGCTGCTGGCCAAGCTCAGGTCCCTCAGGCTGCAGGAGTGCCTGGAGCCACTGCTGTGCCTAATGCAGCAGTACTGGTGAGAGTCAACACATCTATTAGTTGTTCATATTAAAACAAATGTTTAATAAGTGAAAGTATAACACACATTTGATGTTTTTTTAGACTGGAGCAATTAAAAATGTCACTGTAGGCACAACTATTCAGGCTGGTATGTTCCACACAGCACTTTGTTACAGTGCCGGCAATGTTTTATCAGTGAATTAATTTCTGTGTTTCTTCAAGCCACTGTAGGAGGGAATGTGATTGTGAACACAGTAGCTGGCGTCCCCCCAAGTCCCTTTCAGGCCAATAAACGCCTGGCATCTCCAGTCATACCAGGCACCCTGTCTGTGAGTCACTTATTAATGCAGCCCTGGAATTAATTTACAATGGCACAAATCATCTTTGAGCTGGCTACCAGACTTTGTATTCAGAAAGATGATATAATCTTTGTTCGTTTTCTTGTTTTCATTGCCAATTCAGCCTGCAGGTGCAGCTGGAGCCCAGGTGGTCCATGCACAACAGAGGGCTGTCACTGCTGCTGCTGCTCCCACCGAAGTGGTTGCGATAGCTGCGGGCCAGAGCGTTAGAGCCGTGACTCCAGTGTCCGCATCCGCAGTCGTTTCTACAACTCTAAGCCCAGTGCAGTCACAGAACCGCCCACTGGTTCCACAAGTAACACAAGGTACAGAACCTAAGTCAGGTTGTTTTCCCTAAATTTACCGTATTTTTCACCCTATACGTCACATTTTTGCATAATTTGCATTTGCGACTTATACGCCGAAGCAACATATTTATGGATTTTTTCCCATATTTATAAACCAATTTTTGGCTGAGATATGACTGTTTTCATTCATTCTGACTGCAAATATTAAACACTACCATTTTTTCAGCCACTAGATTGCACTCGAGTAGTAAGGTATGCCGTTGTATCATGTAAGAGTTAAAAGTAATGACAAATTCAAAAAAGTTCAAGACCAAAACAACTGGACTTTATTTATTATACTTTATACTTTATTGTTTTTGTCTTGAACTTTTTTGAATTTACCATGTCCTGGATGACTGAGAATCTTCACGAGCTATTAATGACACAATCGGCTTGCCAAAGCCTGCCACCTTCGTTCTGCTCGCTGCTTGGAGCAACCGTCAAACCAGCTGCACCGCCCCGGCAAAATGCAGCTCATTTGACCATTGAAGTGCATTTATTAAGTAAAAGTTCAACTGAGACACACCTTTGCTATAATTTCGAGCAAACAAATAATTGTTTTAGGTGCTTTTCTTGTTACATTTTGAAGAAACGTGCAGATTCCTCCTTTCTTTTTTCCTCCCTGTCTGCGCGCTCCCGGAGCACCGAGGCAGCGAATACATTTTAAATGCAGCTGATTTGACTGTTACAGTCCTTTTATTAAGCAAACATTAGACTGAGACACATCTTTACTATAAAGTCGAGCAAATAAATAATTGTTTTTAAGTGTTAAATTCTTGTTAAGTTCTCCCGTGCACGCTCCTGCGGCCGCCATTTGGCAGCCAATCGATTTTTGACAACACCGACCCACATTTCCCAGTTGTCAGCGGTGACGCGTAACAAACGCAACATGTCAGAGGTGACGCATAACGGATGTGACATATGCAGCAAAGCGACGTCTTTATGGATTTTTCCAATTTATTTGACATATTTGGACTGATGCGACTTTATAGGGTGGAGCGACGTGTACGGCGGAAAATACAGTAACTGTTCTTACACATCCAAATTGTGTTGTTTTTCAGGCACAGGTATGCAGTTGACACACAAGGCTCCAACATACCTGCAGATGCTCCGACTGCAGCAGCAACATCAGCAGCAGGCTACTTCCCCTCAGATCAAAGCTGTAAACAAACCTCAGGTACACCTGTAGCATCTATACATATGGCACAAAACGACTCGTGCAAGTCCCTTTAAAGAAAAATAGAAGCATGGTTCAGTTAAAAATTAACCGAGATGTTAAAAGGGTTGCAGTCGTTGCAATAATTCTGATTTAATCTGTACAAAAATGTTTATAATAAAAGGTGTGTCACCTAACTTGTTTATATGTTTGTTTTCAGGAGTTGATAAAAATGCAGAAACAAAAGGTGCCGTTACAGCAGCAGCAGCAGGTAGCTGCAGCAGTGGCAGCAGCTCAGGGACAGCAAGCTGCAGTGACCCAGCAGACCGCCCAGGTGCAGCCCGCTCAGGCCGGCCAAGCTAGTCCACAGATAGCAACGGTGGCAGCACCCAGAACTGGAACTCTACTGGCTACAAACACCGTTCAGGTGGCCAGACTGGTAAGATGGAAAAAAATAATAATAAATTCTTTTTTTTTTTTTGGATTTCTTCATACATACATACAGTAGTAGCAAAATAAGTTGTAGCTGCACAGATGCTCAGAATTCACATTGAGCACAGTAAACACACATAGAAAAGATGTATAATGTAGCTCAGTGAAATCACTTACACTACCAATCTCTTAAACAGGACACATTTGGCTCATAGAGTAATATCTCAATTAATTAATTCTGTGTGATCTCCTCTCAGCTAATACTAATGAGGTTGTGTCAGCCTTCTTGCTAATTATTCTGTGTTTTGTTTCGTAGACTCGAGTGCCAGCCCAAGGTCAGATTCAGGCCCAGGCAGGACAGACGGCTCAGGTGACCCTAACTAAACCCCCCGTGGTGTCTGTGCCAGCTGTGGTGTCTGGAGTCACCACACTGCCAGGAATCAGTGTTCCTATTGGACAGGCACAGAAAGCTGGTGTGTTGAAAACCTTTCATTTCTGTTAAAGTCAACACTGCTTACACAAATAAATATGGTCTACATGTTAGGTTTTCTTTTGATTAAACTGTTAAACTATATTAAACATAAGAGTAAATGCAGGAGAAAAGGATGCAAGAAAGTTTGTTATAGATAGGCCTGTCACAATAAACAATAAATCAATTAATCGCATGATAAATGAAAATTTTCAACCTCATTTTCATTTATCGGCTTTGTCATTTCTTCGTGTCTCTCTCTTTCTACTGAAGACACTGCATGACAAAAAGCTCAACTCCTGTGCTCTTCACTGACCCCTCCCCTTCTTTTTTCTCTTTAAAATCCATTTTAACGATCCAAAATTGCATTTTCGGATCGTTAAAAGCAGCTAAGCTGAGAAGCTAAGCTACGAGCTAAGCTAGCAGACCGACCTCGGGGAAAAAACCTCTGTCTTGTCGAAGCTCCAAAATTCACGGTTGAAACTTGTGCCTTCGTGTAAGAAGTTTTTTCTCTGCAAAAAAGAAGCTGAGAACTTGTTTACTGATTTTTTTATTAAAAGCTTTGTGTGAAAAATGCTATGCAAAAGAGCTCAAACCACACCGAACATCCGCCATTTTGAGATCTGAAGAAAGGAAGGAGAGACAGCCCATGTCACGTCAAGGGGCCTCCCTCCCATTTTTCTTAGAGACACGCTGCTTGCTCCCTCACTACCCATCCTTTGGTTCAAACTGTCTTATACTGCCATCTAGTGGTCAAAAAAGGTACTACATGCAAAACAAACGCAAACATTTCTTCTTAAATTTGACAATAATTCCTAATTATTGTTAAATTTCAAACAATATTATCGTTTATCGCAATAATTTCTGAGACAATTAATCGCCCTGTAAAATTTGTTATCGTGACAGGCCTAGTTATGGATTTAAAGCTAATGTAGTTTAACTATGAGCTTTTTTATGAGTAAAATGTTGTAATATGATTACAGTGTGCTGGTATGACTTGACGTTCCACTGCTTCTTGTCCTCTCTGTCAGGTGGCCCAGTGCTGGCGTCGCCTTTCCCCCAGATGCAGGTCCAGCAGTTGATTCCGATGAAGAAAGCACAACACCCGACAGCGATTCAGGCTGCAGCCCAGCAGAAAGCAGGGCAGCCACAGCAGGGACAGGCTGCTGGACAGCAGAAGGTAATCACAGCACACCTACAGCTACTGTCAAATCATCAGCAACACTGGCAACATGTAGCTGGAGTGGATGCATGTAGGTCAGGGGTGAAGCCACGTCTGACATCTGGTGAAGACCCCAAATAATCTGAATTATTGCAGTTTAAATGGAAAAGACACAAGGATTTATGAATCATAAGTAAAGATGCTTTCCTGTTTTGTTAAAGCATCATAAGACCGATCTTTTAGTGTAGAACAACAAAAGTGTTGTAAAAATTACTTGATTTATTTAATCTAGATAGGCTCTTCTCACACCCTGTGGTTTGCCGATACTAATCTGTATAACTATATGACTTATTAACAGTGCTGTCAAATGATACTGTTGTGTTGCAGTTTAAATGCTACACAGGTCTGCACCCCTTCAAAAGAATTCAGTTTTTCTGTAGAGCCACATGTAGCCGGATTCAGGAAATGGGCAGGTTAAAGTTGTTTAAAGAGAACTGTTCTTGGAGTTGTCCATTTTCTTTCCTTTTGTCCAAGTTCACTCCAGATTACAAATTAATAATTGCAGGTGTTGTTGGTTTTGTTTTCTCCTGGCTTTATTCCTCTCCCTCTAACCAGGTCAGGTGACAGCGTGTTCAAAACGATCACATTATTAATGTTCGTGAAATTTTAAGTGTGGATTGGGCGTCTAATCAAATATTACTCTTTTCTAAACATTTCTACAGCTGGGTTTGTGAAAAATATGGCTGAATATTACTTTCAGAATAAAGATACATTTTATAAATAGAACATTAAAAAGGTATTTAATTACTATCATATACATTTATTTTGTCCTAAATTAAAGGTTAGTAAAGAACAAACTAAATGTTTATCTCCTCAGTTTAAATTATTTTTCTGAGTGCCTTACCTGTATAATTGTATTTTGGGTGTTAGTTTAGTTTGGGTATTGAACTGAGTGTTTTTTCCCGAGCAGGTAACGATGCAGGCAGCGCAGACAGCTCAGCAGCAGAAGGTGACCTACACTACCACCACACAACTCCAACAAGCCATCAAACCCCAGTTCTACACCACCACGTCCATCACCCAGACCCAAAAACCCACTACTACCCAGCAAATCCAGGTGGAGTCGCAGTGACAAAAGACAAGTCTGCAAAATACAATATTTATCATTATTTAATGGATCTGTGTTCTGCTATAATTCTTTGTTGTTTCTCCTCAGGTGGCTAAAATCCCACAAATTGTGCAGCCAACTGTGGCCAACATTCAACAGCTCGTGTCGTCTCCTCAGCAGGTCAGTTTACTCGTCCTTCATAAGAAACCTGTCATCTGTTGAACTTATTAACTCGTTGTAAGTACAGTAGTCCCTCGTTTATCGCCGGCGTTACGTTCTGGACCCCCCGCGATAAGTGGAAAAACCACCACGTAGGAGTGTTATTTATTTTAGTATTTATATTTTAAGGCTTTATAAACTCCTCCCACACTCTTGCAATGTTCTGAACTCTTAAACCTGCATCATTTTAACAACATGCGTAGACGTACTGCACAGTAGCTACGTACAGAAAACAGAACCACACAATGGTCCTGATCGAGTTGTTGCCAAATCCTGATGAAAAAAGTCCCGGTGAGCTCCGGTGAATACACCAGACCCTCCAAGCAACGCCTCCTCGCTCAAAAGGCTCCCTGGGCCAGCAAGCAGCTCTCAGATTGACTGTTGAGGCTGGAAGTCCAGTTCTGGTCCAATTCCCGGTCGGTTCCGTACAGCTCTCTGCATCCACTGAGCTCCAAAGTCACTATGAATAAGGACCAAACTTTTACAGATCGGATCAAAACTTTCCCTCCATTTCAGCAGAAAGCAACAGGCACAAGCACTGTTGGCTTCTGGGAAATGTAGTCCTTTTGTGTGGCAATACGGTGTTGGCTTATTGAGGAAAAACTACAAAATGGCGGCACCTGTCTGAAGTTTTTTGTTTTTGTTAAATTTTTACTGTATCCAGTACTGCCCCAATCACGAGTAATATTAAAGTTGACCGTTGTGTGTCATGTACAATCTTTTTTTTTCCTCGTGTACAATCTTATTTTGAAAAACTGCAAAAGTCGAACTGTGAAGTAGCGAGGGACAACTGTATCCAGTAGCTCATTAAGGAGCAGAAGAATCCCGTTGAATGTGTTGAACAGGAACTCTTTACTGTTTGTTGTTCGTGTTCAGATCCAGGCCCAGCCTCAGACGGTGACTCTGACCCAGGCAGCCACATCCACCCCCGCTCAGGTGCAGATGATTCCTGCAGGGACAGCCACAGCCCAGGTGGTGCAGCAGAAGATCATCCAGCAGCAGGTGGTGACAGCCGCCCCCTCCCCGCAGATCCAGACACCGCCTCCGCACAGCCCCGCTCAGCAGCCTGCTGCCCCCTCTGCTGCAGAGTCTCCAGTGCAGCAGCCCGCTCAGCCCCAGCAACCAACCAAGAATCAGGCTCGCCAAGGGGGCGTCCGAGCGAAAACGCCTGCCAAGCCCAGCGGGGGGAGCAGCTAGGAGGACCCAGCAAGTGTTTTTCTGCAGCCTGAACACACGATGAAGGGTTGTTGGAGATCTCCTGCTGTCTGAGTCCAAACTGGCAACATTAACCACAGAAACCACTTTACTCCCACTGATTCCACATGCTCAGTGCTCAACTGTTTGAAGATCTGTCAATATTTCTGACGGTATCCAAAACACGTCTCACCGAATCGAGCTCCCGTTTTGTTCCTGAACATGGCGACTTTAAAATGAGACTGCCCGGTCCAACATCCACACCGTCATGATTAATGTAAACAGACTGAGTGTGAGTGTCTTCATAAATGTCTCTTTATGTCCACTTCTGTTTTTTACATATTTAAGTGGGGAAAAAAATGCACGTTGCTTTAGCAGTGTTTTTATTATTATTATTATTATTATTATTATTATTTGAGTAAATACACTGTAAACATGTACTTTAGTATTTTGTGTTTACTCATAAATTGGTTTTTTTTTATTGACATCAGAAAAAAAACAATTGTAAATATCAACAAAAACATTTGTACTTGTAAAGTAGTTGTGTTTTCATTGGACTTTTCAGCCTAATTGTAATAAAGTGTTTTGTTTTTGTACACAAATTCACCTTTTCCTTTCATTAAAATGTTGTAAGTAATTGAAAATGTTGAGTTCTTAAAATCCAAATTTTGTTTCCTTCACGCCACACACACTCCTGTTTTATTTTACATTTTTACACAAGGCTGAGGTCAAACGTTTCATTGGGGCCATCATAACTGCTCCCAGTTTACAGGAGCCATTCTGGAACCAGAGTCTGTACTGGGGATGTGGGGCTCAAAGTCCCATCTACACCCCCCACTCCACGCACACAATCCTGTCACAGCCTTTCTTTTCAGAGTGAAATGACTAAATACAGCTGAACATGTTCGAAAAATAAATCATCATACAGCAGTGAGGTGAGAACTGCAAGAATAAAGACATTTCCTCTCCAGCTTCATCCACACTGATGTTTGTTCAGCGTCTCGTACTTCTGTCCACGTTTCATGAGTTTGTTTCCAAATGGACGGACGAACGCCTCGTCAGCCTCTGAAACAACAACCTGATCTAGGTTTAATACCTAAAGGTGTGTTTCCACTGTTGTACCAAAAAATCAATGTAAAGAGCAACTTGAGTTGAATTTTGATTTTTAATTTATACTTTTTAAAACCCAATTCATGTCTAAATAAAGTTAGTATAACTTGTGACATTTATTTTAAAAAGCGTTTTCCTAGTTTTAAAAAACATTGTGTTTCCTCATTTCTATTATTTATGGGGTTTATGTAGAAAAAAAACAATGTATCTTAAGAATTCACTGGAGAAGACCGGAACAGACAGACATGCGACCAAAGCTCAGATGAAGACCAAAATAAGCCAATTGCAAAGATTAGTTTCAAATAAAGACAAGAGTTTTCAAAAATCCATAGTATAATAATAAAAACCTTAAAACTGAAGTTGTATTAAAAGTCAGACAGATGCTGGTTCTGCTGGAAGTTTCTTGTTAAAGGGACTCGTTCTTTCCACTGTTGCCAACGTGCTGCTCAGCATGGAGGGTTACAACAATATCAGAGTCAGAGTTTCTTTATTGTCATTCACTCTCATGTGGTACATGTGGTGGAGCGAAATTATGTACATAGGGTCCCAGTTACATCCAACAATAAAATGTATAAGAAAAACAGTAATAACATCTAAGATATGAACTAAGAAAAACATCAACTAAATATACACTAAGCACTCATAACATAAAACATTGAACATCAGCACAAACATGAACATGAGTCTGTGAGCAGATGTGCACGCATGAACACATCAACATTGAAACAGATCAGCAGCAACATGAAACAGATCAGCAGCAACATGATATGGTTTTTCACAGTGATTATTCTAGTTAGAGATTCATGAGTCTAACAGCCTCAGGGTAGAAGCTGTTCCTCAGTCTAGTGGTTCTACACTTAATGCTCCTTAACCTCCTTCCTGAGGGGAGTGGGGCAAAAAGTGTGTGTGCTGGGTGGGTGGGGTCCTTCATGATGCAGGTGGCCCTCTTCCTGCATCTGGAGGTGTAGATGTCTGTGATGGTGGGGAGACTGATTCCAACAGATTTCTGTGCAGCCTTCACCACTCTCTGCAAAGCTTTTCTTTCTGCAGCTGTGCAGCCTCCATGCCACACATTGATGCTCGAGCACAGGATGCTCTCCACTGCACACCTGTAGAAGGAGGTGAGGACTGAGCTTCCCAGACCAGCTCGCCTCAGCCGTCTGAGGAAGTAGAGTCTCTGATGAGCTTTCTTGATCAGGCTGGTGGTGTTGTTGCTCCAGCTGAGGTTGTCATTCATGTGTACACCCAAGTGCTTGTAGCTGGAGACCACTTCCACCGCAGATCCTCTTATGTTCAGGGGGGTGTAGGTGTTTTTGTTCCTTCTGAAGTCCACAATCATCTCCTTTGTCTTCTTCACATTGATGTGAAGGTTATTCTCTCTGCACCAGCTCTCCAGGTGTTCCACCTCTTGCCTGTAGCTGGACTCATCATTGTTTGTGATGCATCCCACCACCGCTGTATCATCTGCAAACTTTACAATGTGACAGCCTGGATGGGTAGCTGCACAATCATATGTGAGCAGAGTAAACAGGAGGGGGCTCAACACACATCCCTGAGGAGAGCCAGTGCTGAGGGTTATGGTGGAGGAGGAGAAGTTGTGGATCCTCACTAACTGTGGTCTGTTTGTTAAAAAGTCTAGTACCCAGTTGCAAATGGAGGGGCTTAGTCCTAGTGTGGATAGTTTGTCCATCAGGGTTTGGGGGATCATGGTGTTGAAGGCGGATGTGAAGTCCACAAAGAGCATACGTACGTAAGAGTTTTTCTGCTCCAGGTGGTTGAGCGCAGTGTGGACCACAGAGGAGATGGCATCCTCTGTTGATCGGTTCTCACGGTATGCGTACTGATGAGGGTCCTCGTTGATGTTGATGGTTGTTTTGATGTGAGTCATGACCAGTTTTTCGAAGCATTTAGCGACTATCGGGGTGAGGGCTACTGGCCAATAGTCTTTCAGACCAGTCACTGTAGAGCTCTTTGGGACTGGGATGATGGTGGCAGTCTTCAGGCAGGTGGGAACTGTCTCCAGGGTAAGTGATGTGTTAAAGATGTCTGCCAACACCTCACAGAGCTGATCAGCACATTCCTTCAACACTTTTCCGGGGATGTTGTCTGGGCCAGTTGCCTTGTGCGGATTAATCCTCCTGAAGGTACTCCTTACTTCTGCTGAGGTCACGCTGAGATGCTCTTCGTCCGGTGGTGAGGTGAGTCTGGTGCTGGGTGGTCTGTTCGGGTCTTCAAAGCGTGCATAGAACTTGTTGAGGGCATCAGGCAGAGATGGGTCTTTGGGGCATTGTACCCTCCTTCCTTTATAATCTGTTATGTACTTAATGACCCTCCACATGCTCCGAGGGTCTTGTGAGATGAATTGACCCTTGATCCTCTGTGCATATGTGGCCATGGCCCTCTTAATACCAGCAACCAGCTCTTTCCTTGTCCTACTCAGCTCGTCTGAGCTTCCAGACCTGAAGGCAGTGTTCCTGGCTTCCAGCAGGGTACGCACCTCTGCATTCAGACAAGGTTTTCTGTTTGGGTAGCTTTTAACTTTTCTGGTAGTGGAGACGGTGTCAGTACATGTACTAATGTAACCCAGAACTGAGGATGTGTATTGGTCAAGACATATGAAGCTGCAACTAAAATCTAGTTTCCTTTGAAAGGGAACTTTTACTAGCAGATATTCTATAATGTACTGGTATGTATAAAAACAACTCAATCAATTTATATTACATTTGTAATTTAATTTGAACATAGCTCTGACTTGGTTTATGATTTGGACATGGTTTTGTTTGTTTTTGCTATGTGGAGGCGCGTTTTTGTAAACTGGTGCTATTTAAAAAAAAAACTGATATCAACATAACGGTACTTCCAATTATTTAACAGTTAACAATGGTGTACCTCAAGGCTCAGTCTTAGATCCCACCCTCTTCACAATCTACATAGGCAATGTAGGTCATATCATCCCTGATGCATCCTTACATTTCTATGCTGATGATACAGTTGTTTATTATTGAGCTAAAACAGTTGCTGAGGTTTTCCAGCTTTTGACATCATCCAGACAGATTTGTTCTGTCTCAAACTTGTCCAAAACGCCGACAAAACCAAAGGGATGCTTTTTTCAAACAGGAAGTCGGTCCCAGCAGTTCTTCCTCTGATTTCATCCTCAAATGGTGTTCTTATTGAGTTTGTCAATTCCTACAAATATTTACATGTCTTGGTCGACTCACATCTCTCTTTTAAGATTCATGTCGAACAACTAGTAAAGAAACTGAAAATTAAACTGGGTTTCTTTTTCAGAAACAGATTCTGTCTAACTGTGAATGCTAGAAAACGCCTTGTATCTGTGACTTTCCTTCCCTCCATTGATTACGGTGACATTATTTACATGAAC